ACAGTTGATGAGGAAGCAATCCATTTTTAATTATTTGGGCTAAGACTAAACAAAAGTATAGCTCGTAACACCACATTTTGACACCTAAATAAGTGGCCACATTTTGAAAGGTACTGAGTATCCAGCACTTCCCATTGACTGGACAAGCATATAGTTAGAGTTCTGCATAGTGAATGAAGTTAGTTTTAGTTTATTTTATTAAGTGCCCATTCCCATAAGCACAGGTGTTTCATATATATATGAGACCATTTAAAAATTAACGTTGCCTATATTCTAATGATGTGAAGTGGCTGAAATGCCCTTTTCTAAGGACTGGCTTGTGCTAGGGCCACACTACCGCAGAACAATTATTTTTCCCACCATATGTGGGAAATGGGTAGCTGTGGAGCAATCGCATAGGGAACTCCAAATAATCTGCACATGTCAGAGCTGGGTTCTGCAGCAGCTCATCTTGGTCAAAAGCAGGAAAAACAGAGCACAAATGCCTATGCAGAAGTAGTTCAAGGACTGAGGCCCCTGTTCCAATCCAGGAACTAGCATAGTAGCTGCAGATATTAGCTATACCTTACCCTTGAGTTGTAGGTAGATTTCTTCCTAACCAAGATCCTATTTACTCAGATTGTATCTTTTTGTGTGTGTAGGTAACAGAGATAAAGTTTATACCATGTGCATGTATTTAAGTAATACATCATGGATTTATTTGTATGTACGATTGATTAGTAACAGTTCATTTTTTTCTAAAACTAAGGAAATAAAATGCACAAACCCTTCACTAATGCAATTTTATGGTTGAGCTTTTACACACAGAAGGTCAGACTGTTGCTTCCCACAGCAACTGGAACTCTTCCTCGTTGCAGACACAAACATATAAATATGTGTGTGTGTGTGTGTGCAATGTAAAGTTGCAGTTGCTGTGGGAACCAATAAGTCAGAACTTTGTGTATATGTTTATGTAGGTTCACTCACTGGTTGTAATTCTATGGTTAAGGAGGAGTTGAAATCTATAGCTCAAACGTCAATGATCAAATTTGGTTACCAAATTTAACACATTCTTCAGAAGAGAATTCAATTTTCAGAAATAATTTTTGGTCAAATGTAGTTAATATTGCTAATTTATAATAAGTTATAATACTATTCACTAACCTAGCCAAATAAATACTTACTCTTATGAAATTTGTCTCTGATAGGATCCCTTTTGTGTGTGTGGCCTCCTCAGTGTTGCTAGCACTTGTGATTTTATCATTAGTTTTACAATATTTAGTGTTTTGCTAAAGTTTTAGTTCCTGAATCCCTTGCTCATGTGAGATTCTCAATTTCTATTACAAATAAATAAAAATCTAGCTCTTATGGTTATGATGAAAGGCTCAAAAACATGAACCCTAAGCACTCAAAAATCAGAAGGCAAATAAAAAAAACAAGATTTTTTAAAAAAATTTCATAATATCTGAACAAATCTTATGAATTTGGGGGGCTGGTTACTTTGAATACTTGGGGTTATCAGTTCTTCCTCCTCTAAACTAATCAACCATAACTACCACAGACAAACTTTACACTCAAAGATCATAACATTTCAGTGATAGGCTACTTTTCAGACCCTGCAAGCCAATATAAAAACTGCTGTTCCCTTCTGTCATCATAACCTAATTTAGATCTCAATGCAGCAAAGCACTTAAGCACAGGGCCTTCACTCAAAAGAAAGACACTTTTCATGTCTTGTCTACATGGGGATGTTACATCTCACTAACTGTAGCTAGTCTGCCTTAAAGTGCCTTGTGTCAGAACCTGTTTTCAAAGTGATTAATTTGCAAAGGTATGTCTACGCTGCATCCCACTTGCGGTGAAAAATAGGCTGTATCCTCACGGTGCTGTGTAGTTACACACAGCAGTAAAAGGCTCTGGCAGAGGGGAGCTTTTCCTGCTGCCTCCCACTGCCAGAGCCTTTCCCTGCTGCCAGAATCTTTCCCTGCAGTGGAGAAAGACTCCATCAGCTCTCTGCTTCTGGAGCCTTTCCATACTGCAAGGAGCTGCCAGAGCCTTTCCCTGTTGCCTCCCCCCCTGCCAGAGCCTTTTGCCGCTTCTGGAATCTTTCTCCACGGTGTGGAAAGACTCTGTCAGTGAGGAGGCAGCAGGATGCTACACTGCTAAAAGTAGCAGTGTAGATGGGTGTGTAGAAAGCCATGTAGGGTACAGTCATGTCTTTACTTGCCTAAGCAGGGCCTCATTATCTCCACAGTTATTTATATCCATGTTAGCAGAACATGCAATGTATGCATTCCTCCTTGGAAAATGAATAAGGGTGAGTTCTTTCTAACTACTATGCTGCTGGCA